TATATAGATATAAAAAGTTTACCTAATAAATATATATATATATAAAAAGTTTACCTAATGGCAATTATTTCTTTTCTGCTTTCTTGCAGTGTAATATCACAGTAACCTTCTCTTCTTCCATTTAGAAAATTTCCACTAAATATTCTTAAATTATTTTTATCATTTTTGGAAAAGATTTTTTTATAAATGCCTGATAGTATCTCCGTTTTCGAAAACAATTTCCCCATCCTCTGTCAGTTTCCCCTCCGGGATTTTATCAGTGGTTTTAGTCAGTTTTCTCCCCTTTTCTTCAATCTCCTTCGTAGGGTAGACCTCATAGCTCTGCATAGATTAAGGTTCAACATTATTTGATTTCTTGAATAAGAAAATTAAATTTATTTTTGTTTTTGAATTGTTTCATAATATCTTATTCAATTACAGTTTAACCCAAAACTTCGGAAACATTGAAAAAATTTAGAAAATTTCGTCTTCACAATTTTTTTAAAGGTTTTTTAACTATTATACATAAAGCTCAGTAATTATAAAACTAAGAAAATAGATAAAAAATATGCGGGAACATTTTTTAAAGATCTCAATTTAATTTTTTAATTAAAAAAATTTAAGTATCTACAGTATTCCATAATTCAATTATAAGTAGGTTCTGGGTTAAACAGGAGATTGTCACAATACCAAATTATTGCCATCAATAAAATTTTAATTATCAAGGATCGAAAATGTCCAAAAATTCGGAAACATTCAGCTTTCAACTGGTGGCTCCGTGATATATTGTTGTTCATTATTAATCTGTTCAGAGCAAAAAACTAAAGAAAAAAATTACAAATGTTTATAGAACTTGAAGCTAGGGCTGGGTTTTGTTCCTGGGGAACAATTTTTATGTTTTTTTTTGCACGGGAACATAACACAAAGGAACGGAATGAACAATTAAAAAAGAGTAAGAACATGCCCAGTCCAAAGGGCTAGGCATCGCTCCTGGAATGATCGTTCTTTCCCGGGAACGAACTGAACAAAACGGAACATGCCCAGCCTTAGCTTTAACTTGAAACCCGTTTTAAACTCAGCATTTTTTTCAACTTTGAAATTAGATTTTAAGCTTTAAGTTTTTAAGTTTAAGATATTTTTTTAATTTGTTGATAAAACTTTCCTTGCTTAGTCTGTTTACAGGAGCTGGATCTATTCCTATTTTTATATCCGGGAAACTATCTAAGTAAAATCAGAATGGATTAGATTAGTCTGTTTACAGGGGCTGCAGATCTATTCCTTATCTTTATATCCGGGAAACTGTCTAAACAAAATTAGAGTGGATTATAATATTAGTCTGTTTACAGCAGCTGGATCTATTCCTATCTTTTTATCCGTGAAACTATCTAAACAAAATCAGAATGGATTAGATTAGTCTGTTTACAGGAGCTGGATCTATTCCTATCTTTATATACGGGAAACTATCTAAACAAAATTAGAATGGATTAGATTATGAGTCTGTTTACAGGAGCTGGATCAATTTCTATCTTTTATCTAAACAAAATCAGAATGGATTAGATTAAGTTTTGGGCTTAGCTCTATTCCTATTGACCTCTCGGTCTCTGCCCAAATACCCTGAGGGGCCTTAGCCTCCAAAAAATTATTAGGGGGGGGGCACGGTTCCTCCCCCCTCTTGTGTCAGTAGGAATATAATTCAGGCTTAATTAAAAGCTAAATGTTTTAATAGCACCTTGAAAATATATCATCAAGGAAAATGGGTCTACGTGTACACTTCACAAATGTTCATTTGACAAATCAAAATCATGTCTTGAGTTCAACAGTCGTCTTTCTCGTCCCAATACTGTTCTTCTGTATGGGTTCCATAATATACTTTTTATTAGAGTGGAATTTACTCGAAAAAAGTGTAAAACGGCCATTTTGTTGTACTGTTTCCATACTGCAGGTGCACTTCACATGTTTGTGCTTTATAAACTTTTGGGCCCTGAAACATCATTTTATAGTAAATCTAAAATTAATATTAAAAGAAACCCAAAGTATGAAATAGGCTGGTTTCATAATTAACCAATGATCATTTCACATAGAATCTATGCCTTCCACTTTACAAACGATGATTTTCCGTCATAGCTATAAATCAAATGATGTTTTTTATTCACCTAATTCATTTTATAAAGTTTAATTAACAGCTTAATAAAATTCTAAATTGAAATGAATAGTCTAGGGAACATACTGTATTTGTGTATTCTACTGGATATAATTTGCGAACATTTACATGATTTGTACACTTTGAACTCCCATTCAGGCTGAAAGTGACTGACAAAATTCATACCGAGTGGTTACTAAATTCCACTCTAATATATATTCTATTCTCTTTGGTTCCATTATAGGGTTGATAAATGATATGAATTCGCATGAATGTTTTCAATTTGCACCTGTTCAAAAATGTTTAAACTTTGCTAATTTCTATTCCTGTTCTCAGTTAAATTTGTATTTAATATATTTTGATTTATTTGCAGATGTGCAAACTGTCTGAACAGTTAATGATTGATTTACCTTCAATTAGTCAGATAATATTTAAACGAGGAGAAAATATTTAATCAGACTTTTTAATAAAAAATTTCAACTATTTAACATCTCAAATACCCCCCCCATCCTATTCCCTCCTAAATACCCCCTCCAATTCCCTCTTAAATACCCCCAACCCCCTCCAATCCCCTCTTAAATACACCCATCCCCTCCAATCCCCTTTTTAAAAAAGGCATAAAAGTTTTTTTTGTGTTTGTAAATTCAAGTGACTCTCCATTTTAATAATGAGGTACACCCGATTCACATTTGTTTCCTGGAAACCTTGTTCTGATTAATAAAAACCTTGAAAAGGGTTTACTTTGGATAATTTCTCTAAATTGTTTCTGAAGCAAGATGCGCCATTCACTGTTTTACAGAACCAATAAATGAAAAACAAACAGTTTTCGAAACCAGTAACAAAGATTTGTCATTTTTACTTGATCAGAAAAAGGTTTTAAGGGTACCGTTGTGAATTGGACATGTCACTTTATCAATGGAAGGTCATTTGGAGGCTCTTTAAACCGGAGGTGTAGACATTTGGAGTCCTTTTAAACCGGAGGTGTAGACATTTGGAGTCTGTACATTTTAGTTTTTTCCCATCATACATACTGACCTAAAGATATTCCCGTGGAGCCTGTACATTTTAGTTTTTTAATCCATTGTTCGAGTTCTCGAGACACTTTCTCCTTATCATTCAACATTCGGACAACCATCTTATCTTAAAATATTCGTAGAAAAAAAATCTAAAAAAAAGATATGTTCAGTCTTGCAAGGTTTTAATTGTTTTTTATTTATTTTTTATTTAAAAATTTTTTAAATAAATCATAATATAGTTTTTTAAATATTTTAAGTATTTTAAGACTAAAAAATTATCATTAAAAATCTAAATTTATCAAATTGATTTTAACCCTAGTATTTTTATTTATTGAAGTTATAACATGTACCATCGATCTATTTAAATGAAACAACATTTAGAGCCCCCCCCCAGGGGGTATTTGAGGGGGGACGTCAGCCAAAATGAAATTATTCTCTTATTTATGTCAAATAAGCCGCGTTAGAATTTTTTTTTAAGAGAAGTCTCTAAGTTGTTTAAATGTTATGTTTTACCGAAAACCCGCGATTTCATTGAAAACTCATAAAATGGGATTTTTAAGCATGTTACTCCGCTGTGCTTTCTTGTGCTTTCGCTATAAAATATATGTTCCAAATAGCTTGTTGTAACAAAACGACATCAAAATATACACGGGTTTACAGGATCCATTCAAGGATAAATATATGAACGGGAAAAGTAAATATAGATTGAAATCATTTCAAATCAATGCTAGCTTGAAACACAAGATAAATGCAATTTCGAAAGTCATAAAAAAACGTATATTCCACGTATTTCGAACAAAAAGTGTTAAATAAAACACCAAAAAATACATCTATTTGTTGAAAAAGAATTAGAAAGTGAAGTCTCATCTGAAGCTACCCATGATGGCGAGATACTTTCGGATTTTTTTAGATTTATAATTTAAGAATCTTTGAACTAATGGAATTTTCTTGTTTTGCTTTTCATTTAAAACGCATTCGCGTACAAAACAGTTTGAAAGAGAAAATGTGGAAAATGATGTTCAATATATTGATCAAGTTGTGATTGAAGCTATGAGCTGTCTGGGATAAGGAGCAAACCGTAAACTATAAACCATGGTCATTCTTTTATTGCATTGCTCTAAAGCAATGCTGTCCCTTCTTCCTTTTATCCCCTTCTCCTTATTCTTCTCCTTTCTTCTCCCCTCACCCCCTCTTTTACTATTTCTTTTCTTCTTTCTTCTCCCCTCACCTCCAACCCTCCTCTCTTTCAGATTACAGTTTGCAAACTGAAATATCTCAGTTTGATAATATTTAGAAAAAATAAAACGCCAAACATCGGAATTTCTTAAAAATACTAAACTAAAGGTTTACACTTTACTTTACTTACCCTGAGGTCCAATATGCAGATGCCCCTGGTCTAACGCACTTAATTTTTCCAGGTTAAGGATAATAGTGTCCTAAAGCACTTTATTTTCCCAGGTCAACGGACAATAGTGACCTAGTATAAAGCACTTTATTTTCCCAGGTCAACGGATACTAGTGACCTGGTATAAAGCACTTTATTTTCCCAGGTCAACGGATTTAAAATCACTTCATTTCCACAGGTCAATGGTTATTTTTTCCTGGTCTGAAGAATTTAATTTCGCCAGGTCAACGTATAATAGTTTCCAGGTCTAAAGCACTTTATTTCCCCAGGTCAACGGATAATTGTGTCCAGGTCTAAAGCACTTCATTTCCTCAGGTCAATAGATAATAGTTTCCTGGTCTAAAGCATTTAATTCCGCAAGGTCAACGGATAATAGTTTCTTGCTCTAAAGCACATAATTTCCCCAGGTCAACGGATAATAGTTTCCTGGTCTAAAGCATTTGATTTCCCCATATAAAAGGAAAATAGTGTCTTGGTCTAGAACACATAATTTCCCCAGGTCAATAAAAACAGTTTCCCGGTCTAATGCATTTTATCCCCCCAGGTAACCTAACGGGGATATTCCCAATCTGTTAAATGTTTTTATAAAAAATCAGGGGAAAATATAAATTCAAATTCAAATAATTTTTAATCTAATTGACCCCTGTAAATTTGATTCAGAAATAGGTATGAAATATGTTAAAATGCATAAAAATTGCTTTTTCATTTCAAACACATATTTTGGGGAATATTTTTTCCAAGCTGATATTAATCTGTATTTGACTGTTTTAATTTCATGCAGGGAGTTTCAAAAATATTATGATGAGTTCTGTCTTTTCATACAGTGATAACCAGATAGCAATGGAATAGGAAGACGACATTATCGCAATACTTTAGTGAATTTGATGTAGTTTCAAAGCAACAGTTTTACTTAGAACATGTAACATCACTAATTTAGTGAATGGGTCTGTTAACACTGCACAATTTGGTTGTCTCATGCTTATCGGATTATTAAAAGCTATAATTTGATTCTAAAAGTCAAAAGTTTTCTTTTTATCACTGTAAAATAAATGGTACAGTGATAACCAGAAAACTCTGGAATAGTAAGACGACTTTTAGAATCAAGTTTTAACTTTAAAAAGTTCAATGACGCGGAAACACAGCAATTGTGCAGTGTAAAAAGACCCATAGAACTAAATAAGTGATTTGATAAGTTTCTGATAAAACCATTTTCTTTGTAACACCATCAAATACGGTTTTAAGTATTGATAAATTAAACTTTATATCTATCTTTTAAAAATTCGTCATTCTTCCCCCTAAACTTGATATCTTTTATTTTGCATTCATTCTATTTTGAAACATTTTCTTAGAATTCGGTAAAATAAATGGAAATGTCGTCGTGATTTTAAGTTACACTCCAGAAGGGACAAGCCCGATTCACAGCGGTTCCATCATTGTCAATATCTGCTGGTAAAACTAGAAAACTGTTATATATCACCATAGTTTCAGTAGAAGTTAATATTTCCATTTACTGATAGATCCGATTAAAGGATTCATATCTCTTATTGGATAATAAGATAGATAGCTAGACAGATGTTACCACCATTACTATTTCTATTGGTTCAGAATAAACAACAAACACATGACTGAACCCTGATTGGTTCAGGTGCTAAAAGACTCAGCATACAGGAGTGATATCTGATAGTAAAACTAGAAAACTGTTCTATGACTACTGGAGAAACTAGATAACTGTTCTATATATACTGGAGAAACCAGAAAACTGTTCTATATTTAATAGAAAAACTAAAACTAGTGCTCTATATTTAATAGAAAAACTAGAAAACTTTTCTATATCTTCTGGAAAACTAGAAAACTTTTCTATATCTTCTGGAAAACTAGAAAACTGTTCTATATCTTCTGGAAAACTAGAAAACTGTTCTAAATCTTGTTGAAAACTAGAAAACTGTTCTATATCTGGTGGAAAACTAGAAAACTGTTCTATATCTGGTGGAAAACTAGAAAACTGTTCTATATCTGGTGGAAAACTAGAAAACTGTTCTATCTACTGATACAACTAGAACTAGAACTGTTTACTAAAACATAACAATGAGAAAGTCAGGGTCATCTGAACTTCTGAACTTGATGCTTTCTTTATACACAGAAACATTCAAAAAAATTAATAATTTTAGAAATTTTTTATGAGTACAGTTGTTTACTTGAAAGCCAGAAAAGTCAAAGAATTCAACAATTTAGACCTCCTGGTTTTCAAGCGAGTAAATTGATTTTTTACGATCCGAGTCGAATTTTGCAACTTTCTGAAATTGTATGGAAGCTACATTCTTCGGTATGAGTCGTTTTTAACAATTTGCTCCGTAAAGTGAGTAAGATTAGTAGTAATCACCATCGAATATTTTTCGACGTAAGCTTATACCCACCTTTCATTTTTCGAAAACACTCCCTTTAAGGACAGTCATAATTTTAAAACATCTAAAAAAGCTCATCTAACATACAGCGGTCAGCGTTTATATCAATACAATGAAGACTAATTTTCTATTAATGTTTTGATTTCTAACATGCCTTTTTCAAATATAACAAGCTTGCAATTACTGAGGGAGAAAACAAAAATAAAAAAATCGTCTTCATTGTATTGATATAAACGATGACCAAAGTGCCTTTAAGAATAATTCCTTGATTCCTCAATTGAAGTTATTCCTGGCGTAATATGGAAGTGGAATTAAATCCGTAGGTCTGAATAAGATGGAGATTCACATGACATCAGGTACGGAAACGACATGTATGTGTGTCTGTACCTAAAGAATGTGTGTAAGGAATACCGAACCGAAGGTGTGTACTGCAGGTTTATACAGTACATAAGAATCTCAGTATTTATACAGTCTAGGAAGTACATTTGTTTATTGTTAATTGTTTACTTAAAAATAAGTTTAATATACATGTAATATATTATTTATATATTTAAGTCAACACTCTAAGCCAAATTTTCATGCAAAAAATAAAATTTGAATAAAGTTTACAATAAACTACTCGTTATTCAAGCTTAATTTTAATTGACGACAGTGTTCTGCAATTTCCTTGACTGTTGGCATGGTGTGTGTCTGTACCAAAAGAGTGTGAGTGTAATAACGAACTCGTCTGCAAAGATGTGCGACTGGCTTTCTCATGCCAGACCAGCACCACTCCCTTCCCTTTATTCTTATTCCCTGCAAGACATAAGTTCTGATTTCAGAGACCGAATTTAGTGAATTGAAGAAAAAACCTTCCGCCTGAAACTTTAACTTTGAATCGGTGAGTCAGGATTTGAACCGGGGCCTTGTGGTATGTAGTTCAGCGACCTTTTTGCTATTCATTAAATTCCCAGATCATTCATTTTTAAGTCGTATTTTATTATATTTGTTATAAAATAATTAACAAGTAATAAAATACATTTTATTTTTGACGAATGCTGATAACAGGTTAAAGATCTTACAAACTAGTTTAAGGCTGGCTGTTGCATTACTGTTTAAGGACCATTGGATGACCGGCTCAATTATTCATTCAAGATATCATATGGAACTGTCCTCTTATATACGAATATGTTTAGGTAAAAACCTACGATGTTTTTTTACGAATGTATGTGAAAAGCTTTCATAATTTTGTCTTAAGCTCAAATGTCTATAGGAGGACCAGATTCAAAAGTTGAGAGTTGAAATGTAATTGTTCGGGATGTAATGAAGAGTTCAGAAATGTAACAAAGCTTATAATTGTAAATTGAAACACGTTTCTTTTAATGTTCAGAGCTCTCATTCCGTTGGAATTAAATTTTTTTACATCTGCGATGTTTTCAACTCCGGTTTTTTAAGGTAAAGTGCCAAATATTCGGTTTTAAAGTTGGAATACTATTACTCTTCTCTTTGTTAAGAATTTATAAACTGAAGAGAAAAGTAGTAGAACTAGCTACGGCTAGTTCAATTACCTCTCTATTCCGCTACGATCCACTTTAAATCGCGGAGGAGAGAGAGTTGAATTACACGTAACTAGTTCAACTACTTTTTGCTATAAATTCCGATGTTTAAGTCTATGAAGAGGGAAGTTCAGATCCGCATGGAAAGCACTGACATCCTTCAGGTTCTTTCAGGGTAACCTTAACAAAACAATTTATTGGATATTTGAAATCACTTTTGCAAGTTGTAAGGTCCGTATTTTTAAAGTTTTTACTGTATTAAGTATTGGAAACCATGAATATAGGAAAAATGGGCTGAATAAAATTTGCATCCTTTTTGAACAACACTGTAATCGATGTCCATTATTAATTTATTATCTTTATCTCGATGTCCAGTGTTCTCAGACCAAGGTTGTTTTTTTATGGTACGATACTCGGATCTGGATGCGCTTCAATGTCGTCTTCATAGCAATAGACCCTCGAAATCCACAAATGACGTAATTGATTAATGGCGGAAAATGGAGTGACAACGTTTTTGGTGAGAGGGGGGAGGGGAGGATTTATTCCACTTTTTATAGCTGATAAGCAGACAAAATCCTTCCCCCCCCCTCTCACCAGCAACGTTTATATTGATTTTCTTTGGATGACCGGTAGAAGAGACTTTGGTTTAACTGAAATAGATTGAAGTATTCATAGCAACAATATAATATTGATTAGAACAACTTTTATAATGATTTCATATAATTACTTACACGAATGTCATCTATTAAGAAAAGAACTCAAAGTATGTCTACATCAGTGTCCATGGTTGGTTTAGGCCTTACTGAAGCTATTATCAGGATCCATGCATATACATGTGTGCGCGTGCGCGCAGCAATTGGAAATATACATATTCTATATAGTAAATAGGAATAGATCAAATGCCTAATTTCAAAACAACGTTATCATTTCACCCTCCTTAATAATCAGTTACGTCATTTTAGGATGTTGAGTGTCCATTACGATGAAGACGACAGTTCCGTACATTGGAGAGCATCCGGAGTATCTTAATAAACTAGCCTGACCTGCATAGTAGCTAGAGAACCATCTAGAGTTAATCCGTCTTGGTCAAAACATTTTGTCAGGGTTATAATCCTCTCTCTTCACAAATACATTAAATCAGATTAAAACCTGCAGGTGAATGAAAACCCCTGTTACAATTGCAATTATCTACAAAAAAGAAATCCAAAAAATTTCCCGGAAGATTTTATTTTTTCCTCAATGTTTTTAGACATACTTTTTTTTATTTGGAACATCCTATTAAATAATTTTGTTTAATTATTCTTTAATTATTTTGAAATATTTTCCTGTATCCGCCTTCTCTACAGCACTTACAATCTTTAGTAAAACCAGATCTAAACAGTTGGATTAATAAAGGAAGAAAATAAGGATATCTCATTCTTCCTTACTAAACAAAGATTTAAAGGGTCTGTTCACGTAATCTCAAGGGAACCACAATGTGAAATTAGCCATCTATCTGCCACTTTTTCCAAAAGTCAGAAGGCACAATCTTCGATTTTTTTTCAGACTATAAATATTAACAGACCTATGTGGCCCATTACATAATCAGTAATTTTTAGACTTTTTTTGAGAAACAAGTTTTTATTTGAAAATATCAACCGCTAAAATTAATTTTATCGATTATTTTATGATCAAACAAATAAAGCCTTATTCATTACATTTTTAATGACGTTTAAATTAGGTTGATATCTCATATAGCAAAAAAAAGGTCATGGTAATTTGAAAAGAGCAACCTCTTTGCAGAGGTGAAATCTTCATGACCTTAGTGCTCCGCACACGGAGGTCACATAGGTCTCTCAATATTTAAAGTTTGAAAAAAAAATCGTAGATGGTGCCTACTAGGGGGTGGCTGATCTCATATGGAATGACCCATATAGGAAAAAATGTGATGCGTTTTACTTAAAATTTGTTAAATTTATTTAAGTAACCGAGCTGAATAAAATATAGAATACTAGGCTACCTTCTGTGTCAATTTAGCATTTTCTCTTTGTATACATTGTCAAACAAAAACAAACAAAAAGTTAGCGGATTTTGTAAAAAAAAACTTCGTGGATTTTCAAATTTTAATGAAAATCGAATTTTGTTGGAGGCTAATTTTTATGTCTTTGTTCATTCATAAACCTTCCTTGGGGCCATGTGAGGTCCCACACAAAATTTGGGCCCAATCGATTCAGCCGTTTTGACGTTTATTGGATACAAACAAACAGACAAACAGACAGACAAGCCAAATTTATATATAAATATATATAATGATAGATCAAATAATTACCTGTCCATAGCACTTGGCTGGGTCCCTGAAGCACATGTACCTTCACACTTGTTAATCTGTACATCCTCCTCACATGTACGCATTAGTTCCTTGGATTTACTGTACTCTTCCTAGATAGTTGTACATCTGCTATAGCATGTACACATTAGTTCCTTAGATTTACTGTACTCTTCCTAGATAGTTATACACAAGGAGATATTAAATATAAATATATTCAATATCTCCTTGGTTGTACAGATGTATACTACATGTACGCATTAGTTCCTTGGACTTCCTGTACTCTTCCTAGATAGTTGTACATGTGTATAAAGCATGTACACATCAGTTCCTTAGATTTACTGTACTCTTCCTAGATAGTTGTACACAAGGAGATATTTTAATTATAAATATATTCAATATCTCCTTGGTTGTACAGAGTATACTACATGTACGCATTAGTTCCTTGGACTTCCTGTACTCTTCCTAGATAGTTGTACATGCGTATATAACATGTACGCATTAGTTCCTTGGATTTACTGTTCTCTTCCTAGATAGTTGTACTGATGTATATAGCATGTACATATATATATACAGGGTGAGTCAAAAAAAAAGTGTGATTTGCGGCGCCTGGTGCAAAATTGTACCTTTTTTGTGCAACTTTCCTGTAGGGTGTTTTTAAAATATTTTTGGAAAATTTGTATTTTGTTTTGGTACTTCAAAGGCCCAAAAAAAATCCGCGAACCTTTTTTTCTCTCAAAATCAAAAGTTCAAAAAACACAAATCGAAATCTAAAATTTTATTAAGATTGAATCACAGAATCTCAGAAAATTGGCAAAATTGTAATAAGAAAATTCGCAATTTTTACGGAAAAATTATTTTTCTATGGTTCTTAAGGTTTCAACTGAACAGCGTATATTTAATACTTTAGAATATACTAAGAAGAAAGGAACTTGAGAATTTAAATAACTTTTCAGTAAAAATTAGACCAGAACTGAAAATTGCGAATTTTCTTATTGCAGTTTTTCCAATTTTCTGGGATTCTGTGATTCAATCTTAATAAAACTTTAGATTTAGAGAGAAATAATATGAATACACATTTTTGCTTTTCTGAACTTTTGATTTTGAGAGAAAAAAAAGATTCGCGGATTTTCTTTTGGGCCATTGGAGTACCAAAAAAAAATTACAAATTTTCAAACAATATTGAAAAAAGACCATACAGGAGAGTTGCAGAAAAAAGGTACAATTTTGCACCATGCGCCGCAAATCACACTTTTTTTTACTCACCCTGTATATATATATATTACCTTTGTTAAATGAATTTTTGATGGTATAGTTTCACAAACACTTTCATATCTAAAAAATTAACGAGAAAAGTTAAAATTAATTATAACTTTCTTTTTTGGGGGTAAGGGGGGATTTTAAAACATTTACCTTGCTTCCACTTGTGAAAAAACAGCCAAGACTAAGAAAATCTTAAACATTTTAAACTTCTGAAAATTAGGTCTCCATAGAAAATTGTTCTCAGCCTTCTAGTTAAAATTACATTTTACAGAGATTTGGACATAATTTTGCCAACACGTAGTTAAAAAAAACATGTGAAAATCACCGAAAATAAAAACAAATTAATTCGATTGAATTTTTTGACGCAACTTATTTTATTGCAATTTAAACAATAGAATATTTTTCTTTTAAAAGATAGAATATGGAATGATTGAAAATGTGTTTTTGATTTATATATAGCCAATATTATACTATAATAGGGCCCTGGAATAACCTTTAAAAAAAAATAAAAAATGCATTGCTTTTCTGAACTTTTGTTTGCCTAAATTAAAACTTTTAAAAAACTGTTTGAAATTTTTTAAATACCATCTATTTAAAAGTATAAGATTAGTAAGTTAAAACCATAACAAACAAATTATTTTTTGTTTATCAAAAAAAATCAACTATACACATACTTTTAATCTCTAGCAGACAATTGATAATCTACCTTTAGTCTCTAGCAGATGAGTTTCAGGATATCTTTAATCTGTAGCAGACAAGTTAAAGAATATCATTAATCTCTAGCAGACAAGTTAAAGAATACTATTAATCTCTAGCAGACAAGTTAAAGAATACTATTAATCTCTAGCAGACAAGTTAAAGAATACTACTAATCTCTAGCAGACATGTTAAAGAATATCATTAATCTCTAGCAGACAAGTTAAAGAATACTATTAATCTCTAGCAGACAAGTTAAAGAATACTATTAATCTCTAGCAGACAAGTTAAAGAATACTATTAATCTCTAGAAGACAAGTTGAAGAATACTATTAGTCTCTAGCAGACAAGTTAAAGAATACTATTAATCTCTAGCAGGCATGTTAAAGAAAACTATTAATCTCTAGGAGACAAGTTAAAGCATACTATTAATCTCTAGCAGACATGTTAAAGAAAACTATTAATCTCTAGCAGGCATGTTAAAGAAAACTATTAATCTCTAGGAGACAAGTTAAAGAATACTATTAGTCTCTAGCAGACATGTTAAAGAATACTATTAATCTCTAGCAGACATGTTAAAGAAAACTATTAATCTCTAGGAGACAAGCTAAAGAATACTATTAATCTCTAGTAGGCATGTTAAAGAAAACTATGTTTTGTTTCAACCGCTGTTAACCATTTTATTTTATGGCAAACAAATTTATGCAAAAACGTGAAACTAAGCGATTAAGTATAAAAGTATTCACCTAAAGATTGTAATTTTATACGTTTAATAAATTTTTAAATAATTTTGAAAAAAATGCATTTTTCTCATTCCAAATTACGGCATTTTTTCTTAACTAGTCGAGTCTAAAAATGATTTCCAGGGTTCAAAAAAATAGTTTTCATATTCACAGTGGTTTAATGGACACATGCTGTTAAACCATTAACAAGTCACATTGAGTGCAGATAGAAAGGTACATAGACAGTTATTGACACTGTATATATCTGTCTTTCTAATATCATCCATATATTTATATATATTTATATATATACAGGGTGTCTAAAAAAACTGTGCAGTAGGGGTATTAGTAACTGAGGAAACAATTTTCGTTCAATTTTTACGATCATTCGAAAGCTCTATACTTCAGTTATTTCATGATGTAAAATTTTTCCTTCTAGATAGATAGATAGATATATAGATAGATAGATAGATAGATAGATATATAGAAAGATAGATAGGTAGAGTGTGAATCTGTAATTAATTATTAAGTTTAAAAAAATATGTTTGTTTAGTCAAATTTTAAAATACACATCAAACAGTAACAATAATTTAAGAAATATTGTAGAACAGATTTACACCATGTTCTTATCTTTATCCATTGTTTGTTTTTATTTTAAAAAACCTCAAGAATAGTTTTCATACTTTTAATACAATATTATTGCAATATGAAAAACAGGAGTTAAAGAGACTGTAAGCAATTTCAAGTGACCCTCCATGCCAAGATGGCAAAACTAGATTAAAATCGGGTTTAAATTAGATAGTATGTTATATTTTTTTAAAGTGATTATTTTCATTTGTGGTTTCTTTACTAAAGTGACTTGAACATTTCTACTGCAGGAAGATACAGGGTGTCCCAAAAACATGGGAATTCAGTGACGAATTGGATATCGTCTTTGTTATGAATTAGCATTGCAACACCTAATTTCAAAAGCCATAATATTATTGGGTCTGCTAGAGTTTATTTTATGAAGAGTGTAAAAGACTGTAAAAATGTGTCTATAATGTCTCCGCAAGATGAACAGTAAAGACGGACAAGTTTACTGTGTTTGTATACTGCAATTTTCTTGTTTTACTAAGTACAACCGTATACAGTCAAAACATAAACAAACAAAATGTGAACATAGCAGACGAAACTCTTACGGATTACAGCTTTTTTAGAAGGTATCACTATACTAAATCAAAAAATTATTTAAGACGATATCGAATTCGTCACTGAATTCCTATGTTTATTGGGACACCCTGTATATATGAAATATTAGAAGTCAGCATTTTCAAACTTAGAAAAATATATGTTGCGCATTATTGATAATTTTTGCGTCTTTTTCTAACCCTGATATCTTTGCAACCCAATGTCGTAGACCTTAGATATTTCAAACTATGAATTCTTCTAATAAATATCGTGTTATACGATATTCCATAAACATTTGCCGTACGTTGTACATTATTAATAATCAATGTTTGTACATAACACCCATTCATTCAATTGAACTGCGTTCTAAATGAATTTAACATGATTACCTGAATCATGTGATATAACCGACGTTTATCTTCAATTACGAATATTTTGATTGTGCTGTAATACGTAACATATGATTTGACTTAAAAAGTTAAAACATGTAATATAACGGTGTAGGTATTGTAAGTACGCCTAACCCATAGATAGATAAAGACTTATAAGTTGTAATTATGTATATGTAAGTTAGTTATGACCAGAACTCCGCTTTTATTACAGTGTAGAGTAATTTGGGTTTCGTTGAAACATAAGAATAGAGATTGTAATATAAGTATTTGTATATCTATTTGATAGTATTTGATAGTCACAGGATTGTAGCCGTGTAGATCATGTCCTGTTTAAGACATGATCAATTGATTGCTAGTGTCTGTATTGACACCGATAGCTGATGAGATAATGCCCAGGTTGTGGCGTTGATAGTTCCCGGGATTGTAGCCATGTGGATTGTGTCCTGTTTAAGACATTGAGCAGTTGATTGCTAGTGTCTGTATTGACACCGATAGCTGATGAAATAATGCCCAGGTTGTGGCGTTGATAAGTGACGGGATTGAAGCCATGTGGATTGTGTCCTGTTTAAGACATTGATCAATTGATTGATAGTGTCTGTATTGATACCGATAGCTGATGAAATAATGCCCAGGTTGTGGCGTTGATAAGTGACGGGATTGAAGCCGTGTGGATTGTTTCCTGTTTAAGACATTGATCAATTGATTGCTAGTGTCTGTATTGACACGAATAACTAACAAGATTGTGCACAGGATGTGGCGTTGATAGTTCCCGGGATTTTTGCCCTGTAGATCGTGTCCAGTTAGAATTGAATCGTGGACTGGTTGAACCTGGACTGATGCAGTTTATGATACGAACGGCATTCATTCTTTTTTCTCAAATAATCTAAGTTTAAAATATCCAAGGTTTACACCACCTGCATGCTAAGATTTTAGAGATTAGAAAATTGAGTTTGTGGCAAAGACTCAATTCCTTTTAAACAACTCTTGCAGTTATAAAAATGAGATGTTTATCTTGTAAAATTCAAAAGTGAGTTTAAAAGAACTCCGTGTAAAAATTGAATACATCATGCGCTCTTGAGTCCAGATATAGAGGTTTATAATTTATAATATAATTATTGAGTGGGAGAAAAATGCTTTTAATTTTTTAGCACTCTCATTTTTTACACTATTACCTTTAAATTTTATCAATTTAAAGAAAAAAAAATTCTTAGCATCTTTTTTTATATTTTTTCTATAAGAAATCAATTCTACAAAAAGCCGTCTTTCAGAGCAAGATTGACCAAATCCGAAAATATTTAACATGTAGTCCTGACATCCCTAAAGACATTGTGATATTAATTCTATTCTAAGCCTTTGAGAAAAAAAGTGTTTTGGAATTTTTTGCAACACAATAAAGTCTCCAAGGTTCTTTATGTAAATATCTATAGTGTTTAGAAATGATAAGACATCCTGAGCTATGGACTTAGTAGCGCAAGAGTATTTTCGAACCGATAACTTAGAAATCCATTGAAATATTTACAAAAAGGTTGCAAATCAAATTTTACACTGTCAATTTAAAATAAATTATTATTTTCAATTTCCCTTTCGATAAAAACCTTCAATCTTAAATGAGCATTATTATACTATAAATAAATGCAGTCCACGCTACCCTTAACCCAGAAGTACAAACATTCATGAACAGCAAATACACAAGTTAACATCAAAATAAACAATGTTACAATCATAAAACAGAGTGTTCAAACAATCAATTAAACAATTTTACAATCATGAAACACCATCTTCACACTTCAGCCTGACCATCTTGACTCCCTGACCATTTTTAACCCCCATGACCATCTTCACCACCTGACCATCTTTAGCCTGACCATCTTCACTTCCTGCCCATTTTTAACCCCCATGACCATCTTTACCAAGCCATGCTCAACCTTTGACAGAAAATATTAAATGCCAACCCACTCTGTTTGTATTACTATTTTATATTAAAGTTGGAAAGATAAAAATATTAAGATAATATTTAATTATTTTCAGTTCAGTTAATCCTAACTCCTGTTTACAAAAGGAGGCAAATATCATTGTTGAACGTTTAAAAACTATGGTTTTCCGGAAAAGATTTTTCTTTTCTTTTTATTAATGGTAAATGTGAAGACCCAAAAGAGGAAACTCGATTGTTTTGTTCAATGATACTCTTTTAAATGTCCAGCTCTAAGGTTTGAATAAGAGAAATATTTCTATGACTTTTTAGAAAATTTGCCTTTATTCAAAAAATTGTAATTTGTGTATTGTGGTATACGAGCCGTTATCAAGGGGCAAGATAAAGAGTTGACATTTGATATTGTGACAGTTATCCACATATCACAAAGAGTGTAGTAGTTTATCTGCACAGATTACACAGATAAGACAAGATATGTCGTATTTATATTTATGTATCTGCACAGATTACACAGATAAGACAAGAAATGTCGAATTTGTTTTAGTTTATCTGCACATATTACACATACAGGACAAGATATGTCGTAGTTATATTAGTTTATCTGCACAGATTACACAGATAGGACTAGATATGTCGTAGTTATTTCAGTTTATCTGCACAGATTACACAGATAGGACTAGATATGTCGTAGTTATATTAATTTATCTGCACAGATTACACAGACAGGACAAGATATGTCGTAGTTATATTAATTTATCTGCACAGATTACACAGATAGGACTAGATATTTCG